AAACTCCATCTCAAATAAATAAATAAATAAATAAAAATAAATAAAAAACCAACAGACCATGAAGGCTTTGCAAATACCTCTTACTACCAACAACATCAAAGCCCCCACTCCTGTCCCTCTCAATGAATTAGAAGGAAAAAATGTCCTTATTTTATGCTTTCCTTTGTCAAAACAACAAATTGGTTATGGCACATGTCCTGCAAGAAATAAAATGTATCCATTTCTCAGTGGTCTTTCTTGCCAAGACCCCTCTGTATCTGTAGCATAAAATTCCTAAGGACATAAATGTAGTTTTAACTATTTTATGAATAGTACTAAAATAACTGGCATCCTGAACTTATCAATTCTTTTGTATATGAGATTTAATAACTTTCTTTGAAAGTTTCATATTTGAGAATAAAAATTAACTGGTGTAAACTATTTCTTCTGAAAGATTAAGAGTGTTTGAACAGTAAATTACATGTTTGCTTTACAGAATTGAGTCCCCCCCAAATTGTATGAGAGAATTTCTTCTGATTGTTAATATAATCATATCTGGTTTACTTTCTAGAGAGTGAATGTATTTAATTAATAATCACCAAATTTAATAGTCAAATTAAGATGGAAGCAAAAGGGAAAACAGGTCATAATTTATAACTATATAAGAATATAGTCATAGCAAAATTTTCTTTTTAAATGTTTTATGTCTATCAGTATGAGTTAAATAATGTTGAATTGCTATGGTGACAGCCTATGTTAATCGGCTTTTATTAACTATCTTTTAAAATGAAGACTGCTATGGTAACTTCACACTCTTAATATTTTTCATAAATTTGTATTTTGCTAGTAAGATTCTAATAAAGCAGAGACAACCAAGTGTTTCTAAACTGATTTCTGTTTGATATCTACTGAAGAAAACTGTCTTAGCATTTGGTGAATTTTTTAATGTAACATGCCTCAAATGAATCTTAAAACAGATATTTAGAATTAAATTGAAAGTTAGAAACTCTAGGTTTAATAAAGCCATATTGACTTATTTATTCTGAATTTTCATTTCTTTTTAGAACCTAAAATAACTCGTCCTCCCATAAATGTGAAAATAATAGAGGGATTAAAAGCAGTCCTACCATGTACTACAATGGGTAATCCCAAACCATCAGTGTCTTGGATAAAGGGAGACAGCCCTCTCAGGGTAAGTGGTTATGATGTTAAAACATGTATATAAAATGTATTTTAAAATATAACATTTCTTTACACACTCAGTTACACACTTACAATCTTCTAATATAAAATAGTTTCCATGTACATTTTAACCAAATGTAAATATTTCTGTTTGCATATATGCAAACTGTATGACATTTCATTTGGGTCTGACTAGGAAAAAAAAGAAATAGGAACCAATAATGTTAAAGATAGAACAAAGGGAAGCTCATCAGACTAACAGCAGATCTCTTGCCAGAAACTCTACAAGCCAGAAGGGAGTGAGGGCCAATATTCAACATTCTTAAAGAAAAGAAGTTTCAACCCAGAATTTCATATCCAGCCAAACTAAGCTTCATAAGTGAAGGAGAAATAAAATCCTTTACAGATAAGCAAATGCTTAGAGATTTAGTCACCACCAGGCTTGCACTACAGGAGATCCTGAAGGAAGCAGTAAACATGGAAAGGAACAACCAGTACCAGTCATTGCAAAAACATGCCAAAATGTAAAGTCCATCGATGCTAGGAAGAAATTGCATCAACTAACGAACAAAATAACCAGGTAATATCATAATGACAGGATCAAGTTCACACATAACAATATTAACCTTAAATGTAAATGGACTAAATG